AAAAGTAAAAGCATCATTAAATGCTCTATTTTTATTTCACCCGCTTTTAGTCTCGCTGCGTCTTTAAAGACACGGTTGGAAGTCGCTGTTCTTTTAAAAATGAAAAATGGGTAACGCAGCGGCAGCCGTGAAAGATAGATGTTCCTCCATCTCTCCACTTACGCGGTTAAATAAAGAGAAGCCCATAAATTCTCAATGATAAAAGGTTCATTTGTGGGTATTTTGTGGGAGCTTCAGTTGTGAGAACATGACTGATGGAACCCGTTTCCTCTGAGCTGAATGAAAGTTTTTGCATTTTACAATATGAAGGTTTTTTTTTACTCTCGATTGTCTTTTTAAACGCCTTCCTGGCATCGCTCAGCTCGTGTGATTCCCCATCAATCATTTGTGCCTGAAAGCAAGAGATGGGTCAGCAAGTCGCCACAGTTTGAGCTGGGAGGTTTAAAAAGCCTGAGTGACGCAACGCTGCATGTAGTTCAAGCAGTTTACATGTTGCGGTTGCGCCGACACACAATAAATTAATAAAAGGGGAATCTGATTCAGCCCGTCGTTAATCTCCGTCCTCCTCTGCAGTGACGCTGCTAAGCCGCGACTCGCCTCCGACCACAAGGCCTTACAGGATCTGATTAACATTAATCTATTGTAGCCGCTACGTGACATCATTTGCCTCACGTGGCAACCGGCTGATCATTATCTTCTGCGCTCAGACAACAATCAGAACATCTAGGTTTGAAATCGAGTTAAAAGAGCAGGACAGCAGTTCAAACTTCCTCATAAACGCCCGAGGTGGAGGTCTGCAGCCCTGATCCTCCACAAAGCCTCGTCCACACCTTACCCACATGCTTAATCGTTTCACCAACGACATCATCTCTAGATTATGTTCTTTGTAAACGAGCTGTAACAAGTGAGCTGTAATTAAATAGCTTTGGAAGGCGCCGGTAGCCGGATTACGCAACATTTCAATCAATTAATCGATCAAGCAAGACTTCATTTGTTGGCACATTTTACAGAAAAAGAAAAGAACAATGCAATCAATACTTCTGAAGAAGTGATGAAACACTGTCAATGAGGAAGTAGCAGGTCAGGCACAGGCCAGGATGGTATTAATAGAAAAGTTAGGTGTTAGAAAACAGATGAAACAGACTTGATAACGAATCTAAAATGGTTGGTCTTTCTTTGAAAACTATAAAGACCCTCTGGTCCAGGGAGGTTAAAGGCCACAATAACAAAAAAGATGCCTCACAGTGGGTTTTATTTCTAAAAGGCCACGACTAGAAGCCCTAAATCTTCCATAAAGTTCACAGGATAAAAGCAAATTTGCTAAACAGGTGGGAGCAGGAGCATTAGGAGTTTTATAAACCAATAAAAAAGATCTTGTAATCAGCAGCCAGTGCAGAGACTTTCAAACTGCTCGTCTCACACAGCTGAGTTTTAAAGCAATCGCTGAGTTATATTCTGTTTTTGTGGGGAGAGAGAGCAGAAAGCTGAGCTAAAGAGAAATGACTCAGAGGTTTTTTTACTGGTTGACATGGGTTGAATGCCAGTGCTGCAGTTTCATTTTGAGTTGCTCGCTTTGAGTTTCAGCACCTTCTGCCAAGACTTTTAAACAGAGCCGCTCCATCCAGTCCTCGGGTTCAGGACTTTGTGTGAAGCTAAGCTAATGGGTCGGTGGTAGAACTTCATATCTGCAGCAATCGAGCTCAATTTTAACATCCAACTCAAGACCCTACGATGAGTGCATTTCCCAGAACTGAAAACTATTCTCTCTATCTTCCCTTTTATCAAACTCAGCTGTCATCAGCCTTGTATACATGTTGTCAAGTAGCCTTGGATTCCTGCACCGAGAACAAGACAACAAGTCGTATAATTCAGCCGACGGCAGAAAGTGTGATGCAACATTTAGGTGGAAAATTCCACATTAGCAAAGTCTTGTTTGGAGGAGCAGCAGCGCCGTGACTGTAGACACTGGCCCCAGTCTCTATCAGAAACCAAAGGTGGTCAAACAGTAAAGGGCAAGGGGCTCAGAGTATATCTCACTGTTAAAGTGAGCCTGTTTGCTCAGGGTGTTTACATATATGATATGATACAGGACAGGAGTTCGTTGTCTCTTGTGTGCACTCAGACCCGCAAGTGTTCACCATAAAAGCCGAGGTCAGCTCAGACTTTGGGTCAAAGCCCTCGTGCTGCTCCCACATGTTCCCTGCTGCAACATACAGGAATAAGTACCTGCATCGACAACAAACACACACACACACACACACACACACACACACACACACTCACAATCTGGTGTTATCTCCCTAAATCAAAGGAGCTGCAGAGGACCAATCACACGCTGAGATAGAAGTGAGTCAGATGTTGCGTAATACACAGGATACTGCTCCGATAAAGATCTGAACCCTCGTCATCGGCAACCGTGGAAGTGCTGTCAGAGCCAGCAGACACAAATCTAACTGTTCCAACACCAGGAATGTAAACTATTATTCATTACGCAATGTCAGATGCAACGTTATGTGCATTTAACAACATTTCACAGGGTGACGCAGGCCGTCCGACTCCCCGTGAACAACACACGAGTCAACAGGAATGAATTCATGCATCACTTGTGTAACAACTTGAAATCTTTGCTTGTTGTGTTTTGCATTTTGTTTTAAAGGGAAAATGCCGGATTTTCTAGTTATTATTTAGCAGCAGTAGGTCTGCCCACAAACAGGAAGTAACAGCACAGCATGGCTAACAGAACAGACGGGTTTATATGTAAACAATGAGATTCACAACAAACTCTTTGAGAATATGCTTCTGGGCTCCTGCTCACTTCTTCACTGCTGTGCGTCTCCTCTACGTCCTCTGCCTCTCTGCTGGGAGAACCAGCAGATGCTTTATGCCTCATGAGAAAACGATATAATCTCAAATAATAACGCTTTTAACACCAGATCTCTCAACAAGGCCCGACCCTGTAATTAGCTCATAATGAAAGACATGTTGATGTTGTGCTGTAGTGCTGCCAATTCTCTAATGAATTTGCTAAAACTAGCTGGTGAACGGGGATTTTGGAGCTTTAATGCCTTCAGGAAGAGATCGCCATTAGCTTTAAAGGTGCTGTACGCAAAATTCAGAACCACTGGATGTCTCTAGATGCCACCAGCACCCCAACCATCAGCCTCATCAAAGCCTCACACTGCACTGAAACGAAACAAATGAGCATAATTTAGGTAAACGGCATTAATAAAATACTTTCTTTTCAAGCACTGTGGTTGTCTGAGGCGCTGGCTAAGCAACATGGACTGCACTTTCCCTTTTACGATGGCGGTGTGGCCTGTTTTTTGGCCAACACTTTCAAAGGGAGGGACTCACATGCACTAACATGCACATATAGCCGGACCAGCGCCCAAAACACGGAACGGAGAAGCTCTGATTGCAGCAGTGTGTGTGCATGACTTCACTCTCTGCTGAGGACACCACTACTCCACCATCACTCTATTATTTTTATTTTGGTATTTTACTGCTATATTGATGTTCAAACTCCTGCATATTGTCAGCGACCTGCTCAGGACTTGATGGCTGGAGAACATCAGATAAAATATGGGACAATAAAAAGCCATCTAGGAAGGGTGAATGTCTATATTGTCTAATGTATTTTATGTATTTACCTTCACATGTAGGCAGGTGCGTTCGTGGCTGCACAGCTACAGACACGTGAGTTTGTGTGTATGTAAACCTAAAGATGTACTTAAGCCCAGGTGAACACACCTTCTGACCTGGTGTAGCCTCCATCTTGGCAATGTTTAACCATCAATCTTCACTTTAATCCATCACAGATGCTACTCATAACAGGCATTCAAGGAACTGACACGCCTCATGTGGCCCTAAATGCTCTCGCTTTTTTGTACTAATTACACGGTGACTTATTTTGCTGTAAAATTACAGTAATGGCTGTTTACTTAAACAGTTAGTTATTGTCTAACTGGCTGCCGTAGTCTACTGCGACTACACTTCTGTAGTTTTGACACTGAAATCAAAATTAATCCGAACTGTAAATTACACCGTTTTAAGAAACCACTACTACAGACATATACCATAAATACCAATGTGTTGTGTTCCAGAGTTGAGATTTACCAGCTTTGTTTAGGATTTTAAAAAACACATACGCCACCAAAACACCTTCAACAAGGAAGGATAAAGGATTAGGAAGGATGAAGGAAGTGGCCTTTTTGCACATTGGGAACATTTATTCAAAGGCTGCAATTTATGAAAGAGGCTATTAAATATATTTTAGGGGGAAAAGGACAAATGATTCCATTCAGTGTTTAAAAAAAAAAGTATAGATGGCTTATCTCAGGACGTCAGCGTTGCCTAAATGCCAAAATAGTGCTTTGGAAACTGTTTGTTCTGCTCAAAATATACGTTTTTTACACTCATCTGCTGTTTATTTGTGCTCATTCTTGCTTTTGTGTCCAGAAATAAAAATGTAAAAACTAAAAAAGCTTTAGATTTTATAGTTTTTTGCACACTGCTGTTAGAATGTGGCTTTACATTTACAATAAATAAAAGATTTCATAACGAATTGCACCTTTACGAGGCTGTTTTGTGCTTTTGCTGTGAGTTTTATAAGAGCCGACCTCTAGAAACATGTAATCAGTTTGTTTGCAGGCAACAGGAGAAGGATCGGAGCTGGTAGAGAGGGTCCAGGTTGAGCAGCAATCCAAACAAGAGCATTATATAAAGTGCTGTAATCCCATTTCACACTTCTAAAAATACTGCAGCTATTGACTGATTGATAAACGGAGTTATGTAGTTTTCTTACAAGACTGAGTCACCGTTTCTTTATTCCAGGGTGAGAGAGCGAGGAGGGAAGGAGGGAGGGAGGCGCAGCATTAGTATTGTTATGGGAAATTATCCAGTCAGAGGGGGCGGGGCCAAGGGAGGTCAGATGATGATGATGATGATGATGATGATGGTGGTGACTGAGCTGCTGTTATGTGAACGTCGATAGGAGCTTTCCTTTGGATGGGGAAGGAGGTGGAGGGGGGTAACGAAGGAGGAGGAGGAGGAGGAGGAGTGGGGTGTCGTTTAAGAGGGAGGCGGTCTCAGGGACGCACACAAACAGGGCCCCGCTGGTTCAAGTGAGGATAGGGACCGTCCTGAGCTGAACTCGGCGTTACAAATAGGAGCTGCGGCATTCCAAGTGGAGCAGAGTGGAGGTGCGCCTCGCCGATGATAATATTAAGTAACAGGCTCTGAGTGGATCTGCACAGTGAGAACACAGAGGGACACACAGCGAGCCGCTTCTTGGGTGAACCGGACGCAAACACACAAATTTACGCTCGGAGAGGAGCGAGAGGAGCCATGCGCACCGGCGGACAGCACTGATCAACCAGGTAACAAATCAGTTCACTGACAGTTTCCTTCAATTTAAATGTTTTTTTTTTTAATACTCTACATCCTTAACAATGTAGTTAACATATATTAAAACTTTTTAAATGGCTGTAATCTGTCGTTTCGGTTAAATTTACGCATTCGGTTCTCCAGCGTTTTAAACCCTCGTGTTATTGCTTGTGCTTTATTTTTGCTGCTTTATTTTTTTTTTTAAAATTTAAATACAGTTTGAATAAAGTACACTTAAAGTTACAATTTGTTTTAAAAGACTCTTAGATGCCCGCAAATTCCAACGTAAGCGTGAAGTTGCGGTGCTGATGCTGTGCGTAAAGAGTCAGGTCAGCTCCGGCAGCGCGGAGCAGCCGACTGGAGATCAGCATGTTCCTGTCAGACATGTGGGTCAGTGCTGATGAAGCAAGAACAACAGTCCCGGCACAAAGCGCTCATCGGTGACCTGATTCAGGCGCCATAAACATGACTAACTGATTAAAGTGCGCATCAAGAGATAAAAACACTCATAAATGTGTTAATGTGAAACTGAAAACAAATGTAGGTTAAACTCTAAACGTCGCTTTGTAACTGGGTTTTATTTTTTTCTTGGATTTAAAAATGAGCTCTGTGTGCGTAAAGTATCGCCAGAAGTCCGCCCTGGATGACCAGCGCTGTGTTTACAGCAGCCATTGTCTCATATTGAACGTATAATGAGGCTCGCAAGGTTATGGTACAAGTTGCTCCCGTTTTATTGGAGAGATGTAATGGGGTTACATAATATTGTGTTGTAATGGCTCTTGCGTAACCACTAATCCCTGTACTCTGCTGTGTTTCGTCACTAGGTGGCACTGTTGCGACGTTCTCACCTCCTAGAGATCCTGCAGCGAGCGTTCAGCACCACACAGCGGTGACTCTCTACTCTGAGCAGCGAGGACAGAATCACTCAACTCCTGACAGGTGTGATGTTTGAGGAGGAATCCCAGGAGATGAGGGGTGGGCAGGAGGTGGCCGTGCTCCACAGCATGGAGTCGCCTGCAGCGGGGGCTTCCAGTGCTGGAGGAGGAGGAGGAGAAGAAGAAGGAGGGTCTCGGTCCTTCACCGATGAGGCCGTGTCCATCCTGACCTCCAGCAGCCTACTGGCTCGCTCCCTGCTGGGTCGCACCTCGGCCATCAAGCGCAAAGAGAGCCCCACCTCCAGCATCCGGCGCAAACGCGAGTTCATCCCCGTGGACAAGAAGGACGAAGGCTACTGGGACAAGAGGAGGAAGAACAATGAGGCGGCGAAGCGCTCAAGGGAGAAGCGTCGCGTCAACGACATGGTCCTGGAGAGCCGAGTGCTGGCTCTGTTGGAGGAGAACGCTCGCCTCAGGGCGGAGCTGCTGGCTCTCAAGTTCAGATTCGGCCTGGTTAAAGACCCCTCCAACACCCAGATTCTGCCCCTCACCACGGCTCCCCAGCACAACACTCAGAGCTTGACTCCCCAGTATTACCTCCACAGAGGGGAAAGCTCCTCGGCAGCACATCCCAACAACCAGCCCGGCCAGCAGCTGAGCACCAGGGGCTCCAGGGATGCTGGTAACATGTCAGAGGACTCTGGGTTCTCGACGCCCGGCGGGTCCAGCGTGGGCAGCCCGATCTTCTTTGAAGACCGGCTTAGTGATCATGGAAAACTATCCCCACACAGGGCGGAGGAGCTGGGCTACGACCTGCACCACTCGCCTGCTGACGTCCACCACGCTGCAGGATTCAGCGGAGGGAAGCTGGATCAAGCGGAGGGGATGAAAAACCTTCCTCACAAGCTTCGTTTCAAGATGCCCGGAAGTAGCGACGGGGGCGACGCTGCGGGGGACAGACGTAGCCCGGCGCTCTCCGCCGCGGGACGGGAAAGTCAGAGGGAGACCGGTAAAGGACTGAGCGGAGGCGAGGCGGGAGCGGGGCACTGCGCCGGCTCCTGGCTCCAGCAGCTGGAGGGGGAGGAGGGCAGGAGGGGGAGACAGTCCCCTCAGTACAGCGTCTCCACTGCCAGCTACAGCCTCCAGTCTCCTCCCACGCAAGCACAGAGCGACGTCCAGTATCAGCACGAGAACACTTACCTGAAGTCGCAGCTCAACTCTCTGAGCGAGGAGGTGGCTCAGCTGAAGAAGCTTTTCACAGAGCAGCTCATGGCCAAAGTCAACTGAGGACCGTGAGCCAGCCGGCGCTCGCCAACATCTAGACTTTTAAAGGACAAAGTTTTACTGTAAGAGTTCGGCGCTGGACCGTGCATCACGAGGACTCTCACGTCTTGCTAACAATGTGTTGTTTTTATTTCAAATACTGTATTATATACTGTAATAAATGTCTTCAAACACTCATCTCATCACCTGCAGTCTAACAACTACTACTTAATCTCCGATAAGTTTTTTGCTCGGTCAGTCTTACCCGTGTTAGTGTTGAGTGTGTAATAGTTTCCATACACTGTGCACAACATTCAACTGTTTACATCCCATCATCACAAGCTGACACCGTTCAGAGACGACAAGTTCATTCGGTTTGGGAGCGAGCCAGCCGGCTGTTAACAAGCGGCTGCAGTTGGGTAATTAGGGAGGTTGGACTTACGGCAGAGGTTTCAACGCCGCCGAGACGGGTCTGCCGAGACAGGTCTGCTGGAAACCTGTAAACACAAGCAGAGGCAGACAGTAAATACACTCACAAGATGAAGCTATTAGCAGCCAGAAACTTCCCCCGGTCCTAAAAGAAAGCTCTGTTCTCTGAATCAGGTCACTCACAAATAAAAATAAACATGTGTCAGGTTTGTGGTGTCACACGGTTCTGTTTGTTTAGGAAGAACGCCGTCCTGTGTTGGTGTCTCTGCTCATGCCCAGTGTGAACATGTTTTATTACTTTTCCTGTTATCTGTGCTGAGGTGGTGACAAGAATTCTGCTGTCTCTCTCTCTCTCTCTGTGCGTTTTCATATTAAAAAATAAATGCATTTGACACATTCAGCAGTGTGGTGGTGAAGTAATCATTGCTTCAGAGGGGAACTCCACCCAGTGACAGACATGAAGTCATGAGGGCTTCCAGACAGCTTTAGCAGTGAGCTGTGAGGAAGCATTTAGGAGTCTAATATAAGGCTCTGTGTAGCTGCATTATGGGAATGATGGGTGGTGGTTTTGTAGTTTCTTCGGGGATTAAAAGTCAAGATAAGTAGGCCCTCTGCGTATTAATAGGTCTAAATGTTTGGCAGTATTTTGAAGAGTACGTAGGGATTCAACCAGTACATGAACAGATAACTCCACCTTCACAAACCTTCAAAAAACCCACTTTTTCATCGTCCACCTGAGACAATATCAATCAAGTTATCTCTACTTTTTAAATTTCTACTGAGTCAAATCCACTCAGCTTCAGTTTGATTCATATTATGTCAAGCAAACAACAAAAATAAAATAGTTTTCTGAAAATCCACAAAAATTGAGTTATCTGTTTTTGCAAATGAACTCTTCATATGCACCGACAGCTGCAAGGTGGATCGGTGGTTAGCATCGTTGCCTCGCAGCTAGAAGGTCGCCGGTTTGCGTCCCGGGATCTTTCTGTGTGGAGTCTCCATGTTCTCCCCGTGCAGCGTGGGTTCTCTCCAGATTCTCCGGCTTCCTCCCACAGTCCACAAACATGTTGAGGTTAATTGGTGATAAGTGTAGCCCTGTGATAGACTGGTTACCTGTCCAGGTGAACCTGCCTTCACCCTGAGTCAGCTGGGATAGACTCCAGCCCCCCACAACCCTAGTGAGGATTAAGGTGTAGAGATGATGGATGGATGGATGTTTCTGGACTGTGGGAGGAAGCCGGAGAACCCAGAGAGAACCCACGCTGCACGGGGAGAACATGGAGACTCCACACAGAAAGATCCCGGGTGTCCTCACGAACCAGCGACCTTCTAACTACAAGGCAATGATGCTAACCACCGAGCCACTCGACTTCAGTTTGATATTATCTCCAAGCAAACAACAACAAAAAATACGTTTTCTGAAAATCCACAAAAATGGAGTGATCTGTTTTTGCAAATGAACTCTTCATGTGCACCTATGGATGCCCGAAAAGGTGAGAAACTACAGCAGACTGGAACTTATGCTGCTCTGATATTGGTGTCTTAAAATGGTTCATACTGCTTTAACCGTGAGGATTTGAGCTTTCGAAATAGGACGACAGTACCTATAACGTAGCAGTAGTGCTCACTCGAGGCTAAATTACTGGACATTTACCATCAACACAACAAAGCCCAACATTCTAAAGAGTAACGGCTCCAAACAAACATACAAAACATGACATGTAGTTCATCTGAGGCCTCCAACGAGTCTCCTAATAACAGCTGGCGTGTTGGGAGAATCAGAAAGAATGTAATGAGGAGGGTTGGGTTTGAGTGGCAGGTGCTCATAAATACAGGCGGTGACGAGTCGCGCATTTGGCAGATTTCACTCCCACAGTCTCTGCCGGCGGCAAGACAGGCTGACATCCAGACAGACAGACAGAGACACTCCAGCACGCCTGCTATTACTCAACGCTTCTATTAGAGACCTTCAGAACATGAGAGCTTTAATTATAACAGCTGGAGGAGAATTCGTGTCCACGGAGGATGAGCGAATTCCATCAGTCACATTCAAGTCTAGATGACACCAAGTCAGAATTTTAATATAATTTGGCCCAAAACATGTCGCAAATTCCTGTAGCTGTTATGTGCTGCTTTTTGTCCAGCAGGTGGCAGCAAAGACAACGACTTCCAGCTGCTCTGTTTACCTCCATATATTAATCACACCATAAATGACTGCAGTTTTTATTGTTCCTGCATGTGGGAAGTTAGCTCACACTGGTGACGAGTGAAAAATCAGCAATATGCATTCAGGGGGAAATGTGCGACAACAGATGCTCTAATGGGAAAAAGGTTAATCGAATCAAGAGGGAGGAAAATATTCAGCGCAATAAAGGTGTCATTACTCTGCTGTGAGGAATCCTCTTATAATTTATTCAGCTTGGCATGTGTCATCATTGTTTTACACATTCAGCGCCGCTTGTCTGACAGCAGGGTAACACATAACTAGCAGGCCGAAAATAATGAAACTTGGTGGGGAGGTGGAGCACGGCCAAGACGGGAAAAAAAAAGAAAGGAGCCCATTAAATTTGGGATCATTTTCCTTAAAAACCAACAAGAAAGGCCGTTGACCTTGGCGGAGAACTGCGATGACGCTCTCTTCTGGTGATGCATAGCAAAAGGCTCACAATAGCGTTTAATTGAGGGAGGTGGGAACAAAAATAGATATTCTGCAAATAGATGACCCGCATATAACCCTCTGAAGAAAAAAAAAGAAAATCAAACAATGCTTCTGGCTACAATAACAGATTTGAAATTGTGTAAACCGAAGATGCCAGTGCAATAAGGTGGAGGTGCGGCAGATGCTGCAGGTGTGGAGCTGGGAGAATGTCTGATTTAATGAATGTGCCGCAACACGTTACGCCGCCGCCGTCCTCCTCCTCCTCCTCCTCGCACACATCCACGCAAAACCCCCACTAAAAATAAAAAAAAAATCCCCCCTCTTTTTTTTTTTTCCTGATTCCGTTCCCCCCATTTTTTTTTTCCCAGTGAAAGGATAAAGCCTGTTGCTAGGCAGGCAGTGCGACAGTTGCCATGGGAACGCTTGCAGACATTGCTGGAAGTGGGGAAAACGTCGGGTTAGGGTGGGGATAAGGATGGGGTGCAAAAAAAAAAAAAAGGAAGAGAGGGAGTGATGCGGAGACGAGGAGAGACACAGAGAGAGAGAGAGGGAGAGAGTGTTTTTATGGGGGGAGGGGGATCCAAGTTCACGGCCAATGCCTTTGCTCCTTTGGCGGCTGTTTGTCTCCTCCAGCTAAGGAAGGAAACAAAGAGGTGCAAAGGAATGGTGAAGACATGCACAGCTTAAATGCATTCAGGGCTCCCATAATGTGGTGCAACAAAAAAAAAGAAAAAGAAAAGAAATGGCTGCAATAACAAAACAAAACATCTAATCCTCTATTTTTTTTAAAAAGTCACTTTGCATAATTGAAACAGCACAAGAGCAAATAATTACTCCATCAGGGGCGAGAAGTCCTCAACATCCTTCAAGGACACAAAACAACCCAATCACGCGGAGTAATTACAAACCCTCAGACGTTACAGTAACACACTAAATCGCATCTCTGTGTAAAAAGGACTCGAACAACGAGGCAGGTTTTTTTTTTTTTTTCCTTCCTCCTGAATATGTACACTAACGCTCCGGCGCAGCCTTTTCACGCTACGACGCACGAAGAAGAAAAAAAAGAGTGCAGCCTTGAAGATAAAAGGAGATAATGAACACAGCAGAAGTCAGCCTGCGAGGCACCCATTCAAGCACTCTTTGCCAATTTAAATCAATCTGTGGATAATGTACTGTAGCGTGCATTCGCTGAGACACTGAGCAGACCTAAAGCATCGCTGTGTCTGGATGCAGGGAGATGGGTATCTGACACAGAGCAGCAGCACAAAATGCACAATGCAAATGTCCAAATGGGAGCTGCTCAAACAGATTGCTCTCATCTGATACGTTTGTGAACCCTCCTGGAGGGAGCCTCTCTCTGATACAGTCCCCGCTGAGCCACGCCACCGTGACAGATACCCACTCAACTGTTTGAGCCCATTCAAACCCAGAGGACGGCGTTCAAATCACACGAGCAAGATTAGCGAAACAGCTCAACTCCGCTGCTCTTCCAGGATTCACGCCTGCCAGCGTGACACACATTCCTGCTTGTGATCAAGATGAATCGAAACATGCGCTTCGATTACACAAGAGGAGCAGGTTGAACGAGCTTATTCAGCGCTGTGTGGAGGGAACAGACGATCATACAAAAGACAGATGCTGCCAATGCCACGTCTTGTTATGACTTTAGAAGTTGTTTTTTTTACGCAGTCGGCGGTTTCCTCCGGAGTGCCGGTGTCAGCTGACGGCACTCGAGGTTTAAGGTTAACCTGTGTGACCTTAAAGAGTCAGTGGACCAGTGAGGTGGGGCCCAGAGAGGGATTCAGAGGTATGAACTACGCTCACACTCAGAGTGATGTTCAGTGTGATCCCCACCTGATGACAGACTGATCTGAGTCTGGCTGCTGTTGGCATCGGAGCCACTTCACACCACAGCGGTGAACAATGAACCGATTTCCAATCAAAACGGAACAAGGCGATGAAGCACATACATTATGCAGCAGGTTTAAACTGCTGCGTCAGTGCTTTCACAAACTCATGCCCTCCACCTTGTGTGACACTTTTGATGGAGTCTCAACACTGAACTGAAGCACAAATCAGAGAAATCACAGATAAACATTCTCCTCAGCTCATGTACAAATCCTCTGGTGGACGGTAACTAATTAAAGTTACTCAAATACCATCCATCCAACATCTATACACCACTTAATCCTCACTAGGGTCGTGGGGGGCTGGAGGCAGGTTCACCTGGACAGGTAACCAGTCTATCACAGACAACCAAGCACACTCACATTCACACCTACGGACAATTTAGAATCACCAATTAACCTCAGCATGTTTTTGGACTGGCTGCAAAGTGGCTCGGTGGCTAGCATCTTTGTCTCGCAGCAAGAAGGTCGCCGGTTCGCGTCACCTGGGATCTTTCTGTGTGGAGTCTCCATGTTCTCCCCGTGCAGCGTGGGTTCTCTCCGGGTTCTCCGGCTTCCTCCCACAGTCCAGAAACATGTTGAGGTTAATTGGTGATTTGAAATTGTCAGTAGGTGTGAATGTGAGTGTGCTTGGTTGGCTGGGATAAACTCCAGCCCCCTCATGACCCTAGTGAGGATTAAGCGGTATACAGATAATGGATTGATGTTGTTGGACCTTGTGGGAGGAAGCCGGAGAACCCAGAGAGAACCCAGGCTGCACGGAGAGAACATGGAGACTCCACACAGAAAGATCCCAGGTGTCCTCACTGGGACACGGACCAGCAACCTTCTTCAACGGTGCTAACCACAGATCCACCTTGCAGCCCTTACTCAACTACTGACTCAGGAAATCCAGTTTGGGGGGTGGGGGGGTGTTTTGCTTCTGCTGCATTTATCACACGGTTGCAGGTTACTTATTTTGCCAGTCGAGGCGGCCTGATAGCTGAGATGTTAGGACACATACCACAAGGGTACATGCTGTCCCCGGCTTGATTTCCAGCCTCCCGGATCCTTACTGCATGTCATCTCTCTCTCTCTCTCCTCACCTCAGCTGTCTGTCTCTGCTGCTGCTGCTGCTGCTATTAAACTAAAGGCAAAACAGCCATAAGAGTCTTTACGCCTCTCATCGTATCATCATTTAACTCAGAAGTTTAGTCCATAAATGTGCGTTGTGCTACAAAATGTGGTTCAAATTTGAAAGTGTTATCAGCAACGTGTACTGAATGAGTCCTCATTATACAGGGAACAAAAACAAAGGTGTTATTTACTGATGCAAGAAGCTAGAAGCAGCATTTTATTGTTGTTGCTTTTATTTGAGGACTCATAACAAACCTCTTATTCTAAAGATAAGACATGATCTATATTGATTACACCCCAAACTTGTCCCTCTTGTGCTCTCCATCAAGCATCACTGTTCAAAGCTTTTAATCTGAGGTGCAATCAGGGGCCCCTTTAAGGCACTTAAAGGAATAGTTCCACATTTTTTGGGAAATAGGATTATTTGCTTCCTAACTGAAAGTGGGATCAGAAAATTAATACCCCTCTTATATCAGCTCAGCTCAGCAGAGGGACTAGAAAAAGCCCGACTCTGTGCGACGGTAACAACATCTACCTGCCAGCACCTCTACAGCTCATTCATCAGCACGTCATCAGGAAGTTCTCCAGACTCGGGTTAATGGTGGAAAACTCAGAGGAGCTCCACTGAAAAATTGTTGAATCAGTGTCTGGGAAACCGAACCCGGATCTTGTTTGTTCAATCTGCACAAAATCAAATTATTAAAAAAGGCAAGTCGTGGCTCTACGGTGGGCCTCGACTACCTCTTGGCTCGGTGCCGTTCTTTCCCCTGTTGCTCCGGGCCGGTCCTTATCGGGCTTCTCATCTAACTGTCAGACCAGAAAGCAAATAAATGTCTCCAGGAATTTTAAAACTATTCCTTTAACTCCTCAAAGTTGGCCAAGTAGCAGAAGAAACAAATATTTCTGAGAAAGTCACATGGACCTGTGAGACCGATTGGTCACCGCGCCAGGGACCAGAATCTGATCCCCCCCCCTCCCCAAAAGCCCCAGATCTCCGCTCGTGGCTTGTTTCCGTGTGTGTTTCCACAGCCTGCTGCGTTTTTTTTCTAATGTCTAGTAACCTTATTATGTGTATCACTGGCCTCCATCTGACTGAGCCTGGCTCCGGGCCTAGTCCCTCCCCCTCCAGGCCTGTCTCCTCCCCCTCCGCTCCCCTGCATCTCCTCTCCTGCAACAGGATTTGAAGGCGCGGAGAGAGGGAGGGGGCAGAGCCGAGAGAGAAACAAAAAACGTGACTAGGCACCCAAAGCGTCCTGTTATGCAACAACTGACCTACTAACATACATTTTGAGACTCTGAGAGAGAGAAGGGAGAGAGAGAAGGAAACAGAGAGACGGATAGGAGCGAGAGAGAGAAGCGAGAGAGAGAGAGGAGAGAGAGAGCGAGAGAAAGAGGGAGGGAGGGAGGAATTGGAGCAAACATGACATGAGGAGCGCAACTAAAACAAGGCACTGTGTTCACACTCTCGCATATACCTGCGCTAATCGGAGAGCTGGTGTTTTGATGCGCGCTGTTTGTTTGCGACGCAGCGACGGTTGATGCGTAAAAGCGGATAGTTGGAGAGGAGCGCGTGGATTCTTACACCAATCTGGTAAGTTATTAGAAATTAGCCTCATTGCATTTTTGTCACATATTGGGTGTAATATACATGATGCTTTCTTTAAATATGATATTTTTCTAAATGTGAGGAGAACCTGCTCTCCTGTTCACTGTTTGTTTTGCTGTGTGCATGCCCTCAATGTCAAGGCGAGGCTGGTTCCCCCTTCTTCTGCTACACAGCCCGATGGAGCTGCTGTATGGAGGGTCTGTGTGTGTGTGTGAGGAGAGAGAGGAAGAGGGTGGGAGGAAGTGAGGGTGGGGAGGGGGTAGCCAGAGGTTATGGGATTCCTTCAGGGAGGAAAGAAAAAAAAAAGGTGCGGTTGTGGCGCTTTTTTTTTTTTTTTTTTTTGGGGTGGAGGTGATGGATTTGGAGAATGCTGCTGTGGAGCTGTGCCAAGGACGCATCGGTTATGTTATAGTGTGGTGGGGAGGGGGGTGGGGGGGTTGATGTTATGGTGGTGCTTCTAGGGGGTCAGTGTTTATCTCATAGGTCTGCTTTCGTAACACACGTGACCCCGCGTTATTTAACCTAAATTATGTGCACAGATATATAAACATTATTATTAATTATTATTAATTATTATTATTATTATTATTATTATTATCAGCAGACATAGCAACCAATTTTTTGACTAACAGAAATAAATTAAATTATGAAAAATTATTACTATTATTAGCGTTATTACTGTTATTAACTCATTCTTACAAAATACATATTTTAAAATTATTAATTATTAATAATATTCATATAGTAGTTGTAACAGCCACTTTTTATATTGCTCATAATATTCTAATAAACACAATCATGCTGCTTAGTATCCCTCCAGAGCCTCTCGGTGTTGCCTTTCTAGCTGCAGTGCCTCTGAGCAGCCACTTATTTATACCCGGTTCCTTTTGGGTTAGTAGGCTAGTCCATGCAGACAACTGGAAAAATCCCATGCAGGCTCTGAGGACACACTTCTCTCCGTCACGTGTAGCAGCTCTTTGTAAAGGTTAACGCGGCTGTGCAGTCCTCCAGGGTTAACCCTTTAGTGCGCCGGTGCCGTCTGAAGGAGCAACACACACACACAAAAAAACCGACGCGGATCCGGAGCGCAACGATCGGCCGGATACATGTGGACATTCGGCTTCGCTTCTTTTGTTTACAGCCCCCGATGGGAGCCGGCGAGCCTTTAGCCCCCTGGTTTTAGGAGGAATGGGTGAAGTTCACGGGCTGCGAGGTGAGGTGCGGATCAGAACATCTGGATCAAATGTGGGTCAAATGTTGCTGCCGTGTTCCTGGCAGCCACAATAGGAGCGTTTTCACGTGGAAGTGAGCTGAATGTTTGCTGTGAGGGTTTCTTTTTTTTGTGGGGTGAATTTCGTGGCACAGTTGGACGCGCGTAGTCGCCTCGGATGACTGAGGAGCCGATTAAATATGTATGAACACGATTTGTCAGACAGTGCAACAAAGGAGGCGTGTGGGGTAACATATTTCTCACGATGTGCTGCTCGCTTGATGAGATTTGTGTATTTAGATTTTTTTTGTGCCGTACCTGTTCCTAACAATACATTATGGCCTCTAATTGAACTTCAGCAGCCGTAACAAGTCCGCTTGGTGTAGTAAAATCATTACTCGTGGTGGCATTGGCAACTTTAGGAATTCTATGTGATGTTTGACATTGTGTGTGTAGAAAAAAAAAATAATCGAGGCTTTGTGTTTATGTCACACGTGGAGTCTTTTCTCGTTGCATTCTCCTTCTTATCAAGTTTACATGGATTTAATGTGAGCGTGATGAGCAGGTGATGTATAGATTAAAAACAAACCAGCCAGGTGTTGTGAAAGTGTCAGCGCAGGCTCTCTCTCCTCAGTGGACGGATGCATGACTTGTGCGCATTTTACGCACCGTGCGTCTGGCGTGTGGCGCACCTGTGCACCGTGTATACACTAGGCTATACCGTGCGGGAAACATAGGTTGCATAATGAATGAATTAAATAATTAAAATGGATTAAAGAAAGGGGCAGATTATGCAATCGGCGGAAACCCATAGTCTGCGGCTATGCAGCGCTGCGCTTTGCTGCGGAGCGGCCGCTGCCAATTGGTTGGCGTACACACTGGGTCTCTATGCCAGCCGTGAATGTAGGTCACATCAGTCCTGTGGGAGGAGGGGATGAGGCGCACAACCGCCGCTGACTAGAAAGGCAGAATCAGAACCCCACCAAAATAAATCCTCGCCCCGCCATAACAAAGAAACGAGGCAGTCATGCAGAAATAGGAAAGTGTCCCGGCGATGAAAGCCCCGAGCAGCCTAAATAAATACCATCTCTAAATGTATGTCATTATGAAATAAAAGTGCTTTTTTAGGTTATTTCTACCTTATTGCATCACTGAGCTGACCCACTGAGACAACTGCTTTGTGGTCTCTCAGATTTGATTAGAACTCTGCCTGCATCCAGCTTTACTAAATTAAACTGTGGGAGGGGAGTTCATGGTCAGAAGCCCGGTGCAGTTTCCATCCTGGCCTACTTTGCGGCCTCTTGACTTTCCCGGGGTTTCCTGGCACATGTAAGATGATAAAAGATGAGGGCCTTGCTTTGTTATTGTGCTGTGGTTTGGAGCCAGCAGAGAGGCGAATTACAGCATTTAGTAGGCCAAGGGAGCACATGTGACTGGTGCAACACATGGACTGAGTCACTCTGCTTTTCTTTTTTTTTTTTTTTTCCTTTTTGAGAGCGGGGTGATATGGCCTGCGTTCATGGAACAAGGATCTAGCTCGCACAGGGCTCCGCCTCGCCTTGCCTTGCCTTGCCTCGCTGGCATTCTGCCCGAGTCTTTAGGGAAGATAAAGTCAGCCCCCCCAGACTTGGAATTCAAACACACCCCGCCCCTGACCCCCAACCCTGCACCACGTGCCATACATTGCATTCTTCCTAGAACGGGTGGGATGAGGGGGGGCGCGACAGTTTCATCATTCTCCTTTTCTCTGAAGCATGTGCCCCCTTCTCCTTTTATGTTAGACCTGCTCCCATTTCCTGAAACGCTCCACAGAAACACGTGCGCTGGTTTCTGAACTCGGTCCACTGTTTCCAAAAGCTCACTGCCACATTTAGACTCTTTGCGGTGTGGGCCCTGCGGTTGTGTGAGCGAGTGCAACTTGGATTCTTTTACTGTGCTATCATTCCACAAGTGCCACAGAGACCTGGCGATGACACGTGAAGAATATGTGATAAATTGGAAAGAGCAATGTAGGTCAAGGAAATGTGTGCACAGGAGCGGAGCTGCAGCACGCGGCAGGTCTGCTCGCCTGCTTCAGCGACACGTATTTGTATATCTGAGCCGGAGAATTACACACATGAAAGTGTGTTTCAAATGCATGCAAATACAATGGCTGCATTTTACTTGCTCCGGGCGAGTAAAATGTCACGCTGCTTAGGGCTTAAAGCATCTTTGGAAAATGTAATTTTGATGACAGGGAGTGCTGAATGAAATGCATTACCGGCTGATCTGTGAAGGAGAGTCACAATACCCTATTATATGATTCATTCACACGGTTGGATATTAAGGGGTGCTACAGATGGAGAGGTGAACAGATGCACAGAGGGAAAAAAAAAAAAAAAAAGCAAAGAGCTACCACTGCGAGTTAATTATACACGAGGGCTCATTCATGTGTCTCGTTCTTCCTGACGGTGGGAGAGATATGGAATATACGCTCTCCGTGACGTCAATCAGACCTCCTTTTGTTACCGAACGTTGTTTTCTCACCGTTTTGCTTTTGGCCGCCGCTTCACAAGAAGGGGAGCAAAAGTCTAATATGATTGGCCGCCCCTTCTGTTTCCCCCTTTTTTTTTTTTTTGTTGCTATGGGTGACACATTCCTTCTATTGATGCAATACCAACACTGTCGCAATTGCCACTGGTTTTCACCCCCCCCTCCACCACCACCACCTCCTCTACCCAGCTACAGTATAATCTCATCTCCATCCCTTTCTTTGTTTTAGCTCTCCCTCATTGATTCCCTTCATTTCTTTGTCTCCGCTCCACTTGCTCTCACCTGTGTCTATATTTAGACAACGCTCTAATTCTCCACTTCTTCTTTATTTTGTCTTTTTTTTTTTGTTTTGTTTTTTTCTTCCTCGCCTCCTGCTGCTTCACCTCTCCGCCGCTCGGGGTGACCTATATTCCAGCGAGCCGTACAGTGCAGGCAGCTAGACTTGTGTTTACTGAGCGCGGTCGGCCCACAGATTCTGGGTCAGTGGGACACGCTGAGAGAAAAAAAAAAAAGAAGTCTCTCCTCTCATTCTTTCCTTCTCGTGCCCAGCAGCCACATGTCAAAGGCTCACGAGGATAACCTTAAACCATTTAGCCAAAACAAAAAAAACAACTCCACACCTTTCCAAACAAACACGACGCAGATTCTTAAAAATAAACCATAATGCTCCCGTCTGGGGTGTTTCTGTCAAAGTAAAGTCATTGAATCCTGCAATCTGGCCTGAAATCTACATATGTTTATTGTGAGAGGTTACGTAATGATGTCAGATCCAGAGGAAGAGCACAGAGAGTATAATCGGCGTAAACACCTTGCCAGATTATGAGATTACACATTTAGACAGACTCTCGTGTCACAACTGTGCTGCAGCTGGTTAAACGTATGGGATTACCGCCGCCGCTGGATTGTTACGGACGCCGGGAATACGTTTGACCTTCGCTGCTGCTCAGCTCATATCGGTTGATCTGAATGCAGAGAAGGCCTCCGGTCTGTTGTTGTCTTTCGCTTTTGAAAACGCAAGTCATGGGGAAGGACGGTAGCTGCACGTGTGACCTAATTATTTTTCTGCCGAAGTCGATCCTGAAACATTTCCTGTAAGTGGATGACTGACGCATGACGTTCACTCAGGTGGATAGAGGAAGTGTCTGTGGGTTGTTTTTTTATTTTTAAATACAGCTTGTTTATTTAGAATAGCAACCGTAAATAAAAGACAAGACAGGTCTACGAGGTGAAGCAAACATCAAAGTGGCCTCCTTCTAACCACCAGCGGGAGGAAACTGGTCTGGTTGCAAAAATTAGTCAGACTGTTCTGAAGTCTATGAGAAAATGAGCGCACTTCTCACTTGATCTGTGACTTCAGCAAACATCTTCCTTTACTGTTTCAACCGCTCACGACTTTGTCAATACGGCACAATGTTGTTTATGCAAATTATGGTCCCATAGCAACCAAAACAGACAACAAACCAGAGTATGTTTTAGGACAAATACACAGCTGTTGTCAACACTGTTCACTCAAAAGCACTGATGTGAAATTCATGGTGGCACTAGAGGAGAAGTCAGTATTTATCCTCTGGGGAGCACAAATATTTGTAGAAAATATGGCGTCAATCCATTTAGTCAGTGATAGCTAATGGAATAACTGAATACTTCAAGTCACCGGTGGTGCTATAAGAAAAAAATATCTGGGAGTTTATCCTCTGGGGATCATAAAAATGTGTGTAAACTTTGGCGTCAATCCATTTAGTTAATGATGGCCAATAGAATAACTGAGTACTTCAACTCGCCGGTGGTGCTACAAGGAGTTCATCCTCTGGGGATCATGCACCAAATGTCACCCATTCTGTAGGTTACTTATTGAGATATTTAGTCTGACAGACCAACCGGCTTTGCCATTCACAGAGCTATGTGACTAACAGAGCTACAAACAAAAGAAAGCATTTACAAGGATCACTTCTCTATTCACTTTTCATTGTTACACCCTAAAATCAACAAGGTCGTGCTGCTTTTGTGTACAGCCACACCGGTTGGCAAAATTACACAGCGATCCTTGACGCTCTTCAGCTCCCGTGTCCATTGTTACGAGGCTGTCTGGCCACCCGAATGTAACACCGCGTGTTCTTCCAGGCCGCGTCTCATCTCCCGCCTCCCTTTTTTCCAGAGGCCCTTGACCTATATTTATCAATGCCCCACCTCCCGGCGGCCCCCCACACCTCCAAATCTCTCGCCAGGGTCTCGGCTTCTTTATCCTTGACCTGCATTAGCCGAGGCCCTTTGTCTGCCTTATCTGCTCACCCTGCATCATTTATTTGGCATTGAGTTGTTTTGGCGAAGAATGCTGCCACATTCCTCAGCGGATGAGCGCGTGGGGGGTTGTGGTGTTTCAGCAGTGTTTGTGGATGGGGTTTCTCTGTGGAAAAAAAAGGTCTCCCGTGGAGGTTTTTTTTTTTCCTTTTTTTGTCAGCGAAATGTTCTAAAATGGATCCAGGGAACCCCCACCGGCTCTGCAACTGACTCACCCTTTGCTCTGTCGGGCCCAAATAATCATCAAGGAAACCAAGAGAGCTAATCCTTATGCAGTCTCATTTTCATGCTCTCAGCATGTCTCAGACTGATGTAATTTCTGTGGTGTTGCACTATTTATTTCACGTGTGCGCTTGCCTCAGTTGCCCTCTTTGCCATTTTTAATTACAAGTCTGTAATTTTGCCTTCGGGTGCTTTAAAAATAGGAGCTCAAATCTTACGACATGCTCGGGATTTACCATGATACAGATGCATTCCTAAGTCCTGGATGACAAGATAAAACAGGATCACGAGCCTTGCAATGAACTCATTGCCCACATTACATCACAAAAGTCAACATCAACATGCCAGGCAAAAGGTCAGGGGTCATAGGCTGCAGACGGATCAGATCAATAGCAAGACCGAAAGGTCAGACAGTGAGGTCAAGCAACCATTCATCGGTTGCCAGGGGCGACACGGTCCGTAAAGGCCAGACATGCCTAGACAGCAGAGGAAAGCTGTGGAGACGTAGACATGTGTGTCTGTGATGGCTGTGCATGCTTTTAAAAACAAAATGTTAAAGCATTAAGAGAAATGACAAAAAAATGTCGTAACAGAAATAAGTCTGATACGAGAGTGCATTCTGGAGCAGCAGCAGTCCGTGTGGATTAACATATCCTTCTTTCTGTTTTTATCTCTGCAGCCTTTCATCTTGCAGTCAGCTGCAGAGAAGACAGACAGACGGAGAGAGAGCGAGCGAGGCTCCCCAAGAGACTGACACGCTGAGGTAGACGGGCCGACCTACATCCTGCTGTTTGTGTGGAGATCTGGGACACTTCTCCGCCGGCTTAGCACAGAGTGCTGTTCTCATGCTAAATCTTTAACAACCAACAAAAGCAAGAGTGAAGGAAAAAAAACAGGAAATCGGAGGACTGACCTGAAGAGTCCTGACTCTGAACTGAAAACCCTTCCAGTGGATAAATGACGGTTGCTAATGTTGAGCTCCAGTTGTTCTTTATCTTTTTGGCTAATTTGGACACATGAGTCCTTTCCTGGCATAACTACAGCAAACCTGCAATAAATAGACTGAGAACTCTGGGAGACAAGGTGTTGTCATCACCACCCCTACCTCCCCTCGACGTCTAACCTACTTTTTTACTCAGTCATCCCAGCAACATTTCAAACTGGCTGCCACTAGACAAGAATGGAAAATCTGACATCAGCTCTCAAATTAAACAAAAACTCAGGGAATAACCTAAACTGCCTTGACAACTTCAACGGTTATGAGGAGTCTCTTCCTCCTATCCAAGGGACTCCAACTCGCCTAGGGCGTCTTATCAAACCCAAACCCAACATGACCTGCAGGCGAAAGCGCGAATTCATATCTGACGAGAAGAAGGACGCCTCCTACTGGGAGAAACGTCGCAAGAACAACGAGGCTGCCAAGCGCTCCCGGGAGAAGCGACGTCTCAATGACATGGTTTTGGAGAACCGCGTCATTGCACTGAATGATGAGAATGTGAGGCTTAAGACGGAGCTGCTCCAGCTGAAGCTGCGGTTTGGCCTTATAAGCACTGCCTCCTACATTGAAAAGAGCCAGCAAATTGGTGGGAGCAGCAACACAAGTAGTGGAGGCACGTCCTCGTCGTCCTCTAATCAGTACTACTCCAGTGGTTACTCTAGTGGTTCTCAGGTGATGATGAACTCTGATTCCTCTGAAACAGAGCAATCAGGACGCAGCGAGAGCCACCGGCAGCTGGTGAAATACTCCCCACGTGGCTCCCTCTCTGACATGTCCGATGGTTCCTCCAGGGACAGCCCAGAGCCGATGCCCTTTGAGATCAAACAGGAAGGTGACAGGCTGGAGATGGACATCGCCAATGGCACCACCACCCAGATTATGTTTAACATCCACCGTGGGCTGGCCTCTGTCCCCACACATCACCAGATCCAGCAGCATTCTCAGGAGCTTGAGGCTGCATATCACAGCCAACAGCAGCAGCAGCAGCAGCAGCAGCACCACATTCACCAACAACCCCATCAGGAGCCTGTTACCTCTATCAACACTGTCAGCCAGGCTGCCCCTCACCCACCTGCTGCCCAGAGGAGCGTCATTCTGTATGGCGCCAGCAGTGCCTCTTATCCTGTGGACACCCTGACCAGGCCCCAGGACGTCGATCTGCAGGCAGCGCAGAAGCAGAGCAGCGGCAGCAGCCAGATGTGTGCTAGCCAGCTGCCCCAGTCCATTGCAGAGAGCTCCACAGAGACACTGGCTGAGGTGACGAAGGAGCTGGAGAGGAAGACGTTAGACTCCCCTTCGTACGAGCTCTCCGACAGCCGTAATGAGGCTCGAGGCAGACAGGTGTACAGAGTTTGCCAACTTCCCCAGCAGCAACTGCAGCAGGAGCAGCACCAGCAGGAGGGCGATTCATCTGCAGAGCTCCTCCACAAACAAGTGGAGGGGGTCAACCACCTGTACCACCACCTCCAGCAGCCTCATCATTCATACCTCAGTGCACAAGATGAGGAGCCGCCTGTGCTGACTTACGAGGGCAGGCCCAGCGGCGAGGCTTATTACCAAGGCCACACGACCTCCTCGAACAAGGACACCACATCCAGCGAAGATCCCTCCAGCCCCGACAAAGAGGCTTCCACGGATGATGAAGAGTCCCCCTCTTCATCCTGCTCAGACACGAGCAGCTTCCATCACCGACACCTTACCAGCGTCCACCAGCCTGCTTCGCCTCAGCCCTCGTCCCAGGGCTGCTCTCAGGCCCAGGGCTGGGATCCTCAGGGGGAGGTGAGGGGAACAGCGTTGCCCCACAAACTAAGACTCAAGCACCGGGCCATGAGCACCGGCAGCAGCGGCGGCGGTGGCGGCAACTGCTCCGGCCAGGAGTCCCCAACCACTCCTCCCTCTGCCACGCCGCCTCCCCTCCCCCAGCATCCCTACTTGTCGCTCACGCCACCACAGAACATTAAGCGAGAGGGCGCGAGCGGACTTTGTAAACAGGTGGCGTCAGGGGAGGGGGTCCGGAAGGAGAGCGGCAAAAAGGAGACAGGTGGACGACGAAACAAGAGGAGAGATTAGGTGACCGGCCACTTTTAGGACTTGTCACAACTTATCTAAGAGAGACAGTTTCTCCTCTAAGAACTACCCTGCCATCATGCCTTTGCCCTATAATCAAATCCCCTCCTTAAGCCCTTGGGACAAGAAACTGGGCTTTTCTACTCCCCTACCCCCCAGTGTCACCAAAAAGGCTGGACATGTTGTAGGGCTGTATCATATGTGTATATATTGTACAGATTTGTCATTTCTTACATCCTCTCCATACTTACAGAAGCACTTTTGTTTATGTGATGAGAGGAGGAATGGAACTGCCGGCTTTTCTACTTTTGTCATCCAACAACATACAGCAGAGTACATCGACGAAAGCACATTTTGATAACATGCAAAAAGGAATGTAGAAAAAAATACGAATTTCAAGCTTTATCAGTACTATAAATTTGGTACATATCCGACTGTAGACAAACATACACATGTATGGCTCTCTGCCTTAATTAAAATCAAATGCAAACATACACTGGGGACATTCCCTCGACCAAAGAAGCACCAACACTACAAATATGAAGTTCCATACCTCTTCCCAGACCCTACCTCTACCAACCCATGCTCTCCCCAACCATCTCCATTATTTCACAAAAGATCGCCATCGCCTTTATTTTTTAAGCACTTAATTTGTATATTACTGTGATATATGAATATATGTATCTATTATAAACATATATTTTAGAAAGAAATTTGAATACCAATTCAACAAAAAAAAAAAATGCGACAAACCTGCAAGAGGACTCGGAAAGTGACCATCTTATTACAAATTACTGTACAGCCACATTGTCTACTGTTGCTACAGGACCCTTGCAAATTAAAACACCTCTTTCTTGATTGTTAAGCTTTAGCATTAATCATTAGTTAATGCCCTGTTTACACAGAAATGGCCGTCCAGTTTGGAGCGCCAACAGCACTGAATGGAGAACAAGTTGTTTCCTGAGGCTACGGCCTCATTAAAATGTTTGGATTTATTAACCTTTAACCAGCCTTTAAATATTTGGTGGACTACACCAGCTGCAGGCTATAAGCCTTTAGTTTATTTGAGCTTTATCAACCATATCTTGTTGTTGTTACCATTCACTGGCCCAATGTATTTATTTCCCTCCTCTCCACATGCCCATCACTGTAGAAAAGCCCACAGGGACATAGACGGAGAATGTGTACAGACCTTTCTAGATGCATACTGCAGCCTTCAGTTAGAACTCTTAATGCAGGCATTGGGATGCTCGGGGCGAAAGCAGGAGGAATGAAGTCACATTTATGTAAACACACTACAGTGCACTGAACAACTTCCTCTTGTGTAAAGACCTAAGAACAGAGCCCTCCACAGCTACTGTTAACGATTATCGTCATGAATCGTGGTTTTGTAGTGTGACCAAACATGGCCCTTAAGGCTCATTTTTAGATCCCTGATGCGATGCCAAATTTTCCTCAAACCCTCCTCCAGTTGGGAGTCTTGAGTTAAAAATCCTGAGCTCGAGCTAATATTAATCAAGAGAGGGCCTTCCCTTGCTTCCCATGTGCCTCCATTTATCATTTCAGGGGTTTTTCATCCCTTTCTCATCGTAGTTCTGCTACTGGGCAGTGATGAATTGCCTTCACTGGATCCAAGTTTAACAAAAGTCTATGTACCACGTTTGGCTTTTTGGTGCTTGTGTATAAATGTAAAGTTCCCCCCCACCCCCCACCCCACCCTCGAACAACACTGTAATGTTTGTTTCATTGCTTTTATATCCTCTTTTTAGTCAAGGTGACGTTCTGTTTTCCTCTATACTGTGTCTTTGCTCCTACTGACTGTGATGACATGTATTTGCCTCATTCCTCCTCCCCCCCTCCCCTCTTTTTCAGTGTGTATTAATCAGTAATGTTTGTGGTTTTGCTGATGGTTTTATGAAAAAGACAAGGATTTGAGAAAAAAAAAAAAAAGATGAATAAATAAGAGGCGAGGATAGTGTGGTGTTTAGAGATGGGTGGTGGTTGGTCTGGTTGGTCATTACCATCGCTTCCTTTTGACATGAATATGTATGTAAAGACACTAATGTTCATTGTGGAAGATGGGAGCATTTCAAGAAAAATCAAATAAAAATAATGTTGACATTTCAACATGGAAAGAAACCGATCTGTCTTTCTCTGTTCTTTTGATTTAGTGCCTGTTTTGATGTTGCACACACAGTAAAATACACTAAATTATCAAGTGAACTTTTGCAGGACAGACAGCGGTGTTGAACAGTATACCGAGAGTACTAGAACGTTGCAATATCCTAAAGTTAGAAATAATACTACTCCCCATTTAATTACTATTGGTACTTTAGGAATAACAGTGTTTTAATAAGAGTTGCAATAACCAGAGATGGCAAAAGTACTCACATTCCTTACTTAAGTAGAAGTAGAGATACTTGTGTAAAAATAGACTCTGGTGAAAGTAGAAGTACTGATTCAACTCATTTACTCAAGTAAAAGTAAAAAAGTACAGCTTCAGAAATTTACTTAAGTACAAAAGTCAAAATGAATTTTTAGCTTCGATGCCTCTTTTGATAACTCTGCAAAACGAAAAAAGTTTTAAGCACACAAAATAGGATTGTTTTCATCCTTTAAGAAGCTGCTACAGAGAAAAACATCACTGGACAGTTTTCCATTTCAGCAACATGATAAACAATAAACATTATAATCAACATGGAAACACTCGTCTCTTCAAGACGACCAACATCTTTCATTGAGGTTCAGCAGAAGCTGGTTCTCAAAGTTCTGCCCTTTTGGGTCTGAACATCAGTCCTGCGGTGCTAAAAAGCCTCTCAGCTGAGGCAGGCAGGTCTGTGCTGAGCTTCAGGGACAAACTGCACACTGCTGGGAAAGATAAAGGCGTTTGATGTCACGTCTTTTACGTCACATCGTCATCCATAGAGACGATGTGACAACAAAAAAAGGGGCCAGTTTAGAGAATGTAAGGAGTAGAAAGTCCAGATGTTTGTGTTCAAATGTAGGGAGTAAAGGTAAAAAGTCCACAGAAAAATTAATACTCAAGTCAAGTACAGATACCTGCAAAAATCTACTTGTCTGGCGACACCACACTGCAGCTGTCATTATGGCAAAACAAGAGATTGTCCACAAAGTAGACACACAAAATCTGACTAGTTTGGAGTTCCAGATACTTCTATCCTTAAGGATCCATTAACACCTGAGTTTTGGTTTCAACTGGGGTTTTTTGCTCCTCCCCCTCGTTATGTGAGTCGTTAGGGTACCCTAACGAACCCCATTGTGGCAGGGGGAGCACTAACGACTCACATAACGAGGGGGAGGAGCAACAAACTCCCAGATGAACCTGAAGCTCAGGTCTTAATGGCTCCTTAAAGATATCAGTATCTGGAACTCAGAGTCAGAGCTGATGAAGCCTCTTGGATGAGAGGTGGAACGTCTTCAAGGAACTCAAGCAAGTCCAGTTGCTACGATCAATCCACGAGAATAACCATGACCTGGATGACTGGGAATCTTCACAGACCTGTTTGTTTTGGGGCTATTTTTAGTATTCTGACTACTTTCCATTGTGGCACAGATCTCAATATGTTCACTCTGGTTACCTCACAAGCTGCTAAAAATCAGGCCAAGCACGTAGATCAAAAACAGCAAAAAAAAAAGGTGAAAAAGGGTGATTTGAATGTGCACTGAGGTGCTGCAGCACTTCTCCCTGCAAGGATCTATCCTTCAGCGAGCAGGTTAGCTTTTTGCTGTGTCATGTCAGTGCCGGTGTCAACATACTACAACAGGTCTCCTTATCAAAGTCATAATTGTTGCATCGTGACGACGCTAACTGAGCAGCCATTTCAGGGTGTCCAAGTCTCTGCTTTTGAGCCACAGTGACTGTCAGCATACCAATCACAGCATGTAGGCAGCACTTACAAGCTGGCAGCCTGGCTCGTCATCCTATTAACCGAGATGATGGTCTATAAACCTTATGCCAGATTCGCCAGTTAGATAATAGATTACTCACTGATTGACATAAGAGAATGAATCACCGTAAGCCAGCAAACAGAATAAATTAACTGCAGGACGACCATGTTTTTTGGTTTCCTCTTGAAGTTGCCACAAAATACGAGGATTTTTCTCGAGTTCTAGACGAAGGTGAGGCTTCACAGCCACGCCCTGTTCCCATTGTGCACAGATAGCCTTGTACGGAGCGTTTCATTCCCCATGGGCAACTCTCTCTTTTTGGCATCAGAGGCTAATCTGCAACGAGAGGAGCTTCGCGGTGACACACTGACACAGTTTGCCCAGTGGGGCCAGAAAACTCCCTGGCAAGCTTGTCTGATGTAACACTGGCCTACTTCTACGAATAGACACGCGCTTATTGCATGAAAATGCCATCAAACAGTGTGCTCGCACTCTGGCAGGTACACACTCCCGCGTTGCAGCCTCTACCTTTGTGTCCTCATGTTTAAACCTCTTTGATTTCTCTCCTCACTCTGGACTCACTCCACGCGACCTTGAGCGAACACAAAAAGAGGTTTTCTGAAAACAGATAAAAAATCTAAAGCGAATCAAACGCGATCGTGTTGTTCACAAAGCCCAAGGATCGTTTTTTTTTTTTTTTTATGGTAACAACTTGAACAGGTGTGCGCCACTAAAATGCAGAATATTTATAGCAGAGGAGGGGGGAACGCAGACTGTACTAAACAGCATCTATCTGAACAGAGAGTCAGCTTTATGTGATGCACCGGACAAAGCCAGCGCAGAGCCTGTCTGAGCCTCTGGCTGCTGCTGCCAGCTCAACTGTCCTGCCAATCTCCTGACCAAGTCCCACTGCATTCTTTGTATTAACACAGAAAAGGCTGCTGTGTAATCCCGTGTAAGTCCAAGTTCAGACTCATCAGCTATATGGAGCCCATTCACACGGACTGCGAGCGACAGGAGGAGTTCACGGCCCGAGTATAAATAATTAGAGACGTCAGTGCTCGGTAATGAACTGCTCAAGGGTCGCATTATGACCCTTCAGTTGGAAAGAAAAAAGGATTGACAGCGATATCAGATTGTAATGGTGTTATGACACAATTTGCCTCGTGTAGAAAACATACAATATCCTTAAATTATCCTTTTTTTATTGTTTCCCACCGGACCAAAACGGGGCCATTTTCATAACAGTAAAAAGGGCAAGGGGAGGAGCAGCGAGGTGGGGGGGGATAGGGAAAGGGAGGGAAGTTAACCCAGTGCGCTAACTTGATCTAAGCCTGCAAACAAAGCAGCTCTTTGAGGCTGACACATCAGTGCCCTTCACAATGCTCTCAGTCACACACACACACAAGCAAAAACATGCACACACACACTCATGCCAATGCACGTCCACACACACACACAGCAGCAGCAAAAAGAAAGAAAAAGCCGACAGATAGTCACCCCCCATAGGATTTATTTTTTCAGTTTTGGGGGAGTTAACTCCTTGTAATAGCCGCTGTACCTCCAGCAGCACCCGTGGGATCACGCCAAGGTGACACTCGCTGCAAGAACAGCAAAGCTCAGGCGCTGTTTTGCTGCGTCCCTTATTTTCCTGATTTGACTTGAACGGCTGCTGCACCAGAGCTTGCATAAACAGGTCAGGAGGAAAGTAGGTCAGTATGCACGAGGAGGGAGGAAAAGGAGAACTAAAGAGAGGGAGAGAGAGAGGGGGTGAGTTAGTGTGCTGACGGATGGATCGATGAAGGTTACGGCTCCATCCGTGTCACTCTTGTTTGTCTCTGGCAGCAGAGATGCTCTTGGCAAACAGAGCAGAAACAGGGCTCTCGTGTTACCTGGTTCCCCTTCGCCGCCCTGGGGGGGGGGGAACGGGTTAGTGGAGCAGCGAAGTGGCCGGGGAGGGATGAGAGAGCAGAATAAAATGGAGCAGAGAGGGGGGACCCCGGGTCTCGGGTTTGTTTCCGAGATGACACACTGACACATTTCTGCCGCGCCGGCCCACGTCGGCTGTCAGATTCAGGTAAGAACTCCCCCGACGGCTGGCCGTGAAACCCCCATCATCCGTTATTAAGGCAGGTGTACGATGACAACGTGCAAACAAGGAGCGAGCCGACCCGTATATCCTATAGCGTCGAACGAGCGTGCAGTCAAGGGCGCATATGTTAACGTGCGATTTGCGCGCTGCTCCTGACGCGAATCATCCATCAGCCCCGAAGGCACATTTACTGTCTGACGCTGGAGCTTCTCGTTTACAGGATCCGTTAAAGCTGCAGCACGGCGCATCAAACGACGTCGTTACATAAACAGAACGAAACAACAGCTCCGTCAAAGAAGAAGAAGAAGTATTTACTCCAGCCGGTTAGAAGAGAAACGAGATCAAAAAGTTCTTACATAACTGGATGGTAGCTCGGGGCTCAGTTCACACCTCGTACAGAAGCAGAGGTGGCAAACATGAAGATATAAAGACAGAGCAGCGAGTACAATAAAGTGAAGACAAAGTGTTGAAAGGGTGCAGTTTAGGTTTTTGAGGTCAATTTTTTTAGATGTTTAGTTTTACAGCGAGAGAGAGCGACGAGGCCGATGAAACACTTAATGCTCTGTGCAGTTGTTCACCCACATTCAAACTGGTCTGAGGCAGCTGAGTGCATCGAGCTGGGACAGGGAGTGGCCTGGCCCTGATTTAGCTTCGGGCTCGCTGCAGCACCTCCCCTCCCCTCGCAGACTTTATCGTACTGGGTCAAGCACGCTCGCACAAAAGGTCTCGTTGACCTGCAGCCTCGGATTCGTTTTAAAAGTGCAGCTTTGTTAATGCTCGAAGATGATATTTGACTCTTTTTGCATCGCTAATAGTGATGTTCCTCTGCAAATAAAGTGCAGTTTCACACTAACATCCTGTCTACCTGAATGGTGGGACTGTTATGAAGGAGCCACAGAGTCTGCTTTAAGGGAGGATGGTAGCATTAGTCACCAGCAGGACTTTCAGAGAGGAGCCCAGGGTTCATGTCCAGCGTGAGACCAGTATTCTTAGACTTAACTTTTGTTTCCACTCCTTGTTTGGTTCGGTTTAGGCGCCAGACTACGTGGTTAGGTTTGGGAAAACGGCACCGTTTGGGCTAAACTCTACAGCTCATCCTACGTTCTCTGGGTTGCCAGGGTGACGAATCCTGCCACAC